GACCGAAACCCATTATAGGTGAAGTTAACATCTCTGGCGACTGTGTTCACCAGGAGACACAGCACTACGGCGAGCCGGTAGAACATGGCTAATTTTTTTCTCATGGGTTCTCTACCATCGGGATGTTTTCGAAGCGGTAGAATTTAAAAACATTAGATTAAATTAGGTGTATCGCCACTACAGTATAGTTGATGGTGTTTTGTAATCATCAGCCATCCAAGTTAAACCACATGTAAATATCTGACCGTTGATGAGTTTTAAAGCATTTTGGTGGCCGTGATTAAAGATAGATATGGGTATGGTAAGTAGGTGATGATGGACTGTAATCGCCGCGCCTATGGTTTCGAGAAAATCCAAGGCTATGATTTCTACCTTTTATACTACGTTAGTAGGACTGAATTGTAAATTTGTGTTTGGAAAATATAGAGAATCTTACACACATTTCTAATGATTATCTAATGCCGTGATTTTGTGGCGATTTTGTGACGGTAATGACGGTGTTGAAGTGAAGCAAATCCCTTTACGCAACTTGCATTGATCAAGGAAAAACGGGCCTACTGGCCCTACTCTCATTGGGGCGGGCATGGTAGTCTTCGGGAAGCATTGAAAATTTAGCTTCAATGATATCGCAGTAGTTATAATGTCACGATCGTATTGAAAATTTATAACCTATATAATATGTTGTTTTGCATTTAATTTTTTTTATTTAGGAATCTAATTATAGTTTGTAGTAGCTAATATTTCTTTCTCTTTTAATTGTGGGTTTGTTTATGCTTTGCACCAAGGGCAAAACATAAAACATAAGAAGTAATTATTTAGTAATAATTAATTATTTTTTTAAGTTAAATTTTAAAGAATTTTTTAATTTGTACTATAAAAATATATATTAAGGATATATATATATTTTTTGAACAAATTCGATGGGGTCAGATTCAAACCGTTACTTGGGACGGAATGAATGCACTTATACGTGACCTGACGCCACCAGACCCGAAGGCTCAAGTGCATATTAAGGATATATTTATTACAGTTTTTATTATTAATTTGTATAAAAAACTATAAAAATAAACTTTATTTTTAATACTAATACTAAGTGAAACAATTTAATTAAAAGTTTAATAAAATTAAAGTTAATTTTTATTTTTTATTTAAATTTATGGTGAATAA